TTACCTGAGCCCTTGGTCAAGACCAGCCTGAGCAACTTGGTGAGCCCTCATCTCTACAAGAAGTCAAAAAATTAGCCAGGCATGGTGGCATGTGCCTGTAGTTCCAGCCACTTGGAAGGCTGAGGTAGAAGGATCACCTGAGCCCAGCAAGTCAAGGCTGCGGTGGTTGTGAGTGTGCTGCTGCACTCCCGCCTGGGCGACAGAGTGAAAAAATAAATAAACTAAGATGCATAAGAGGGAAAGATCAAAAGCAGGTCCAGGGATCTTAGCTGGAAAAGTAGAAACAGGGTGGGCGGGTGAGCTGCTGACAATGATGAAATAATACAGGTAAAATTATTGCTCTTCTGCCAGGTTTTCTTCCTGATTTAAGCCACAAGACACTGAAGAAATGAACTAGGAAGCATAGAAGCAGAAATTGGAGCCGAGAGGAGATTGGGGGTTATCTAGTGCATACCACACTTTGTACAAAAGTGGAAATTAAGGCCCAGAGAAGCTAAAAGACTTTTTCTGAGGCCATCCATCTGACGCATGGTCAGATTCCCGAGCTCCAGGATCTTTGTACTGTACCTAATGCAATGTTTAAGATAAAAGCATTTTGTCATGGGGGTCTTTCAAAAATCATTTCAAGACTAGAGAAGGCATGGTGCTCTCTTTATCACAGAATTCCCAGGATTCACATTTTTATTTTAAAGGCTGGTAGACTGGGTGATGCTGTGGTCATCTGCTTCAGAGAAATGCCATACTGTTGTTTGCATGGTTGTTACATGAGCAAAACTGAAGATTTCTAGGTAAAAGTTACATGTTCAGAAATTAGTGATGGAATGAGAAATGCGAATGTAAAATTTGAAAATTATAACAATAAAGGTAGTCTTCAAGCTGAGTAATTTGCTCACTTGCTCTATCTGAAAAAGGAGAAAAATTAAAATTAGGATGTGTTTTCTCTGGAGTTCGCCTACTTCATTTACAATCCTCAGTTACTGTGTCATTTTTATGATGTAGTAAATAGGAAGGTTCTATTTTCCCCATTTCACTAAGCAAGCAATACAGGAAGGGTTCTTTTTTAATGGACACATTATAATTGCATGTATTTATGGGGTACACTTTGATGTTTTTATGCATATACATGTTGTATACTGATCAAATCAGAGTATTAAGCATATCCACCACCTCATGTATTTCTTTTTGGTAAGAACATTTGAAAGCCTCTCTTCTGGGTATTTTGTAAATACCTTACTCGAAACCATCATCAACCCTACTGTGCAATAAGACACCAGAACTTACACGTCCTAATTGTCACCTTTTACCCATTGAGTAGTCTCTCCCTATCCTCACTTGCCCTCTCCCCTTTCCAGTCTTTGATAACCACTGTCCACTCTGCTTTTAGGATATAAAGTCTTTTTTTAAAAAAAATCAGATTCTCCTTAAGAGATGATACTGTATTTGTCTTTCTGTGTCTAGCTTATTTCAATTAATATGATGTTCTCCAGGTTCATCCATGTTATCACCAATGGCAGCATTCCATTCTTTTTTCTGGTTGAATAGTATTCTGTTGTATATATGTACCAGATTTTTTCTATCCATTCATTCATTGTTGGACACTTGGGTTGATTCCATATTTTGGCTATTGTAAATAGTGCTGCAATAAACATGGAGTGCAGTGGTCTCTTCAACATACCAATTTCATTTCCTTTGGATTTATACCCAGTAGTGGGATTGCTGGCTCATATAGTAGTTCTGGTTTTACTTTTTTGAGGAATCTCCCTACTGTCTTCCATAGTAGCTATACTAATTTACAATTCGATCAATAGTGTGCTCCCTTTTCTCTGTAGCCTTGCCAACATTTTTTTTTTTTGGCTTTTTGATAATAGCCATACTGGAGTGAGGTGGTATTTTGGTTTACATTTCCCTGATGATTAGTGATGTCAGGCATTTTGTCATGTACCTATTGGTCGTTTGTATGTCTTTTGAGAAGATGGGGGGAGGTCGGGAAGATGGCAGCTGAGCCAGTCGGACTACGTGAGTCCAGGTGTGAGTGAGTGAGTATTTGGAAAACTTTGTGTATGTGCTGGTAAGCAAGTGGGCATGTGAGTGGCTGACTGGGTTTAACCCCGTCAGATGTATAGTTTGCATATGTTTTCTTCCATTCTGTAGGTTAGCTCTTCACTTTGTTAATTATTTTCTTTGTTGTACAAAAGTTTTTCAGTTTGATGTAACCTTATTTGTTGCCTGTGCTTTTGAGGTCTTATTTTAAAAATCCTTGCCCTATCCAGTGTCATAAAGCATTTCCTCTGCTTTCTTTTTTTTTTTTTTTGACTCAGAGTCTCACTCTGTTGCCCAGGCTAGAGTACAGTGGCACGCTCATAGCCACTGCAGCCTCAACCTACTGGGCTTAGTTGATCCTTCCGCCTCAGCCTTCCAAGTAGCTGGAACTACAGGTACACATCATCAAGCCCAGCTAATTTTTTTGGTTTATTGTAGAGATGAGGTCTCGCCATGTTGCCCAGGCTGGTCTCGAACCCCTGAGCTCAGGCAATCCTCTCACCTCGGCCTCCCAAAATGCTGGAATTATAGGCATGAGCCACACCACCCTGGGATTATAGGCATGAGCCACTACGCCTGGCCCCTCTATGTTTTCTTCTAGTAATTTTATAGTTTCAAGTTTTACATTTAAGTCTTTATTTTAAGTTGATTTGTGTATATGGTCACAGGTAGGATCTAGTCTCATTCTTCTGCATGTGGCTATCCCAGTTTTCCAGCACCATTCTTCCCCAGTGTGTATTCTTTGTTGAAAATCAGTTGGAGTAGCTACATGAATTTATTTCTGGGCTCTCTATTCTGTTCATTGGTTTATGTATCTTTTTATACCAATACCAGCCTGTCTTGGTTACTGTGTCCTTGTGGTATATTTTAATGTCAGGTACTGTGAGACCTTCAGCTTTGTTCTTTTTGCTTAGGACTACTTTGGCTATTTGGGATCTTTTGTGGTTCCATATGAATTTTAGGATTGTCATTCTATTTCTATGAAGTTTGTCATTGGTTTTTTTGTTTTGTTTTGTTTTTGTGGTGGAGTCTCACTCTGTCACCCAGGCTGGAAGGCAGTGGCACACTCCCGGTCACTGCAGCTTCGACCTGCTGGGTTCAGGTGATCTTTCCACCTCAGCCTTCCAAGTAACTGGAACTACTTACAGCCACGCGCCACCAGGTCCAGCTAATTTTTTGATCTCTTGTAGGGATGATGTCTCCCCAAGTTGCTCAGGCTGGTCTCAAACCCGCGGGCTCAGGCAATCCTCTCACCTTGACCTCCCAAAATGCTGGCATTATAGGTGTGAGCCTTTTTTTTTTTTCAATTGGAGTCTCTCTCTGTCACCCAGGCTGGAATGCCTAAAGTTGGGAGTCTTCTCATTCCGAACACCTTTTCATCTAATTCTGTGTATGTCAAGTGTAGTCCTGCTTCTTCCTAAGGCCTGTGTCTGGATCTAGATGAACTTGCCATTCTTTGAAGAAAGACTTAGTCATTGGTGAGATGCACTCTAACCTCCTGCCAGCCTCTCTGCGGCTCTCGGCTCTCCTTGCTCTGTTTTTACTTGTCACTTATCTTACCAGCCTGCACCAGGTCAGTATCTCACCAGTGGCTTCCCTGGTTCTCTGCTGGCATGAGATGATTTGGTCAAAACAGCTTACTAGAAAATAAATTACATGCAATAAAAATGTATTTGACTTAACACATTACTCAAAAATTATTTCTACCTACTGTTTTTTTGTATGTTTGCTCATTTTGGTGGCCAAGGATTTGCTTTACTGCTTCTTTGGGTCTTTGAGGGTTTTTTTGGTATATATGCATATATAAATATATGTTTTTCAAGGAATCATATTGTACAACTGTTTGCTGCATTTTAAAATATTGGCAATGCCTTGATAATAAGGGAAATTTACATTGTTTCTTAATAATTGTCTAAAAATGAATTTAGATTAAAAAGCACAAAAGTTGGAAACATACCTAAAAAAATTATGATAAACTAACAATAATGCTTAAAGACTTTGAGGAAAATAAGCAGCTGAGAATATTCTTTTTTGACCTATTTGTCCTCTAATTTCATTTGTTTTCAACCAAATTAAATTAGACTGAGAAGCTCTATCTACAACGGTCCAGTTCTTATACCCTCACTCTATTCTGTGGTAGATATGGCTTGTTTCCTGTTCCCTGTCTTTGCCAACACCGGGACAGTTTTGGCCCATGCTCTTGGCAACCTAAATCATCACTGTGTAGGATCTTCCCTGGGAAGCATTTCTTCTAGACATGTTCCTACATATTTGCCAAACCTGTTGTTTTTTTCCTTGACCCTGGCTACTAAAATCCTAACCCTTCCCTCTCTCCCTCCCTCCCTCCCTTCCTTCCTTCCTTCCTGCATTCAGTAAAGTATTTTGGGCAGATAGGTGAGGGGGTGGTTCAATAGTAATAAGTTACTGACACCCAAGATTTATGGAATACTTACTGTATGTCAGGCATTGCTCCTAGCACATTACATATATTAACTCCTCACAAGAAAATGCTATACACCAGGAACTATTATAATCCCCATTTTGCAGACAGATACAGATGCAGAAAGGTTAAGTAACTTGCCCAAGGTCACATAATCAGTATTGACTAGAGTCATCAGGTAGTAGTCATAATTTATTTCTCACCAAAAATGCGTGAGTAGGGATTGTTCTTTGTAACTATTAATGTTATAGGAGATTAATCCATAGAATTTGAAGCTATCTTGACTTAGACCCTGTTCTAAGTTCCTTTTGCCCTTGGTAGAGCTAAACAACCATTATGAAGGCACTTGGCTATGAATGCCACCTTGGAAACTAGGGGTACACTGCGGGAAGCCAGGAATGCACTGCTTATCTGAATTTGGGTGTAATTATGAGTCTCTAGGCAGCTAAGCTGGGGGTAGAGATGTTGGGAGGTGCTTTTAAAACATCGTAATTTTAAAGTCACCCATTTCTAGGAAGTTCTGGGTATCCTGGCACCCATATTCCATGCTGTGAAATCATTCAGTGTGAGAACTTGGACCTTATGGCCCTCACCCAACAGCAGCAGCCGACAGTCGGAATGACCACAGCTGTACATCAAGCCTATGGTGACTCAGGAAGGGGATGCATGCAGTGAAGGAAGCCGCTTCGATCACAGTGGCTGACGATGAACCCACCTGCCTGGGGAGCCAGACCTGGTTGTTGTACCTGGACCTTGGTACTGGTGAGCAAGGTGAGGCTTAAAGCACAAAACTCAATCTGTGGTGACCTCTGAGAACCCCCGGTCTGCAGGATGCCCTGCACCATACAGTACCTGTGACACCTGTGCCCGGTGAAGTCCATACCTCCTTCTGAGCTCTGCATATTAATAGAGTAAAGCCTTCCTCCCCACCCATCTTAACCTTTCTCACAAATCATGAGTTCAGACATGACACCTGTTATTGCACACTGGTATGATTATCTTTTTGCAGTCAAGATAAGGCCATGCCCCATGAGTAGGGTGTGAAGGTATTCCTAAATAAGGTAGATATTCTTGGCTGGGCATGGTGGCTCATGCCTATAATCCCAGCACTTTGGGAGGCTGAGGTGAGAGTATTGGCTGAGCTCATGGGTTCAAGACCTGCCTGGGCAACTTGGCAAGACCTCATCTCTACAATAAATCAAAAAATTAGCTGGGCGTGGTGGTGCATACCTGTAGTTCCAGCTCCTTGGAAGACTGAGGCGGAAGGATCGCTTGAGCCCAGCAGATCAAGGCTGCAGTGGCCGTGAGCATGCCACTGCCCTCTAGCCTAGACAATAGAGTGAGATGCCAACTCAAAAAAAAAAGTAGATGTTATCAGTCATTCAAAGAAGAGATCCTCACACAGAAAAACATGGAACAAATAGAAGGTGGCTCTTCTGGATATACCTTTTTAGGGTTTGGACTTAAAGAAGTTAAGAACTGTTGAGAGGCCTCCTTACTGGTAGGGGGAACGGCCTCTGCCATCGAGTTGCCCATTCCTGGAGAGCCAAACTTGAAGGGAGACACTCATGTATGTTTGTTTATCTGCATCAATCTACTTATTTGTGAACTTCAGTCAAGTTTAATCTAAATTAAGGTTTCAAAAAAGCCTTCAAGGACTAGGAGAAAGTTAGCCCAATGTGAGTAAGGAGTGGTGAGCCGTGTAGGAAGAGCCTGAACAGTGGCTCACGCCTGTAATCCTGGCACTTTGGGAGGCTGAGGTGAGAGGATTGTCTGAGCCCGCGGGTTCGAGACCCGCCTGGGAAACTTGGCGAGACCTCATCTCTACAATAAATCAAAAAATTAGCCAGATATGGTGGCACATGCCTGTAATTCCAGCTACTTGGAAGGTTGAGGCGGAAAGATCGCCAGAGCCCAGCAGGTCGAGGCTGTGGTGGCCGTGAGCCCGCCACTGCACTCTAGCCTGGGTGACAGAGTGAGACTCCAACTCAAAAAAAAAAGAGTCCCATACTCTTCCAGGCATCCAAATTCAGATGTTTGCAACGTACTGCACGAAGCACTTACCTGTACAGTACTAACTATGGCTCACATTTACTTGACATTTCTACATGATACATTAGTCATTAATTCAAGAGAAAAATAACATTCTTAATATTCCTAACACTTTATTTGTAATCAGTCTAAGAGGGAGCCAGTCATGACAGAAAATTGTGTGGGGGTTAGAAAGTGAGGAATAGCCGGGCTCGATGGCTCAGCCTGTCATCCCGCGCCTTGGGAGGCAGAGGTCAGTGGATTGCCTGAGCCCGAGGGTTCGAGACCAGACTGGGCAACTTGGCGAGACCTCATCTCTACAACAAATCAAAATGAGCCGGGCGTGGAAGCGCGCGCCTGTAGTTCCAGCTACTCAGAAGGCTGACGCAGAAGGATCGTCAGAGCCCAGCAGGTTGAGGCTGCGGTGGCCGAGAGCGGCCACTGCACTCCAGTCTGGGCGACAGAGTGAGACTCCAACTAAAAAAAAAAAAGAAACAGACACAAAGCAGAGTGCTTCCTCCCCGAGTCATGGTGCCATGGGTGACCTGTGAAAGGTCCCGAGTGGAAAGTTCAGTCTCAGAACAAGGGTCATCATAACAAGATTTGGCCATCCCCTCCTTAAGTGGAGATATCTGTTGTCACCTTTGGCAGATCAGGTTCCAAGCTGAAGAGACCTAGTAGATTTCCTTACAACTTCACAATTTTTCCCTGTCCTGGACCCATGTTTCCATTTTTGTCACCATGGCCACAGTGACTGAAATGGCCCGCTTCATCCTTTGCACTAGACAGTCTTCAGCCCCAGACTCGGTGGCCAAATGGACAAGTTCTTTTCTCTCTAGTGCCTTAGAACTCTTGGTCTCAGATAGAGGCCTTTCATGTTATCCTGCTCTGAGAGAGCCCAGTTTAAAGTCCTACGGATGTACACATACCTCGCACTCTCTGCCACCTCTGATTTAGGAGCAAGAAAGAAACTGGAAAATCTTGTAGTAGAGAAATACCCTTAGTGTGCTACCTACCAGGACAGCTGGTCTACTCAGCTACCCCAAGACCAAAAGTATAGTAATTCACCAAGCTCAGCATATACCTTTCTGCAGCCATTGTTTTTACTCTCATTTTCCACTGTGCGCACACCTCATTACCGTGTCTCGTGTTCAGTGCCCATAGTCAGCAGGAACTAGAATCTGGAGGAGTTTCATGCCTCGTAAAAGGCCAGTAAGAGACATCAATTACAAACAGAGCACACATCAGTGTGGCCGTTCCAAGTAGAGGTCTGGGTATGGCCTTCATCTCAAGCACCTATCAGGCCCAGACAGGCTAAATAATGGGCTTTTGTACCTGTTTCCAATTAAAAGGTTAGTTAATCTCGAGTCTGCTCCATTGTGTGTGTCTCCTTTGTTTCACTAGCCACTTGTCCGACCAACCAGACGAGACCACATTATATATGAAACAGCCCAAGTGTGCCTTAACCGTAGCATGCAGGTACATAATGCAATCTACAGTGGCCACCAAGACGACTTACAGAATCCAGTGGAATAAGAGCTAGGGGCTGGGCGCGGCGGCTCAAGCTTGTAATCCCAGCACTTTGGGAGGCCGACGGGGGAGGATTGCCTGAGTCCAGGGGTTTGAGACCAGCCTGGGCAACTCGGTAAGACCTCATCTCTACAATAAATCAAAAAAATTAGCTGGACCTATAGTTCTAGCTACTTGGAAGGCTGAAGTGGAAGGATCGCCTGAGCCCAACAAGTCAAGGCTGCAGTGGCCGTGAGCTATGCCACTGCACTCCAGCCCAAGTGACAGTGAGACTCTGACTCAAAAAAAAACAAAAAAAGAAGTGTGGACGCCAGTAGTTACTGAGGAATACCCAATCATGACAGCAAGGCCCCTCCCTATGAAGGCCTTTCACCAAGAACCTAGAGTAATCTCACTCCATTCTCCAAAATTTACAAGGGTGTCACTAAATTCTTGAGTTTACTCAAAATTGGGTAATTTTTTGTTTTCACTGTCAGGCACAAAATTGGCCAAATTTTAGGTTATAAATACTATAAAGCTGAGATTTAAACATCGATTTACTTAACTCACAGCCTGTGTTCTTAAATGCTTGACTATTTTTATTCATTTATTTTGTTCAAAATCTTGAGGTTGGCCGGGTGCGGTGGCTCATGCCTATAATCCCAGCACTTTGGGAGACCGAGGTGAGAGGATTGCATGCGCCCACAGGTTCGAGACCAGCCTGGGCAACTTGGCAAGACCTCATCTCTACAATAAATTTTTTAAAAAAATTAACTGGGCCTGTAAAAATTAGCTGGCGCGTGACTGTAGTTCCAGCTACTTGGAAGGCTGAGGCAGAAGGATCAGCTAAGTCCAGTAGGTTGAGTCTGCGGTGGCCGTGAGTGTGCCACTGCACTCCAGCCTGGGTGACAGAATGAGATTCTGACTCAAAAAAAAAAAAAAAAAAAGAAAGAAAAATCTTGAGGTCAGCTGGATGTGGTGGCCCATGCCTGTAATCCCAGCACTTTGGGAGGCTGAGGTAAGAGTATTGCCGGAGCCCAGGGGTTCGAGGCAAGCCTGGGCAACTTGGTGAGACCTCAACTGTGCAATAAATAAAAAAATTAGCCAGGCATGGTGGCGCATGCCAGTAGTTCCAGCTACTTGGAAGGCTGAGGTAGAAGGATCAGCTGAGCCGAGCAGGTCAAGACTGTGGTGGCCGTGAGCGTGTCACTACACTCCAGCCTGGGCAACAGAATGAGACTCTGACTCAAAAAAAAAAAAAAATCTCGAAGTATAGGGAAGAATGGGGATGAGGAGGATAATGAAAATGCAGGGCTGTTTCACAGTCCCAACCCTGGGCCGTCAGCCTTTGTCCATGCTATTTCTTCTTCATAGAGAGCACTTCGTCCTTGTACCTGGGGAGCCGTGTGTGAAGTAGCATGAAGACGGAAGAAGCGAGGCCGGCAGACTAACAAGGGAGCAGTTTTAGTAATTCTATTATATAATTAAAACCTCCTCGTGATTCAATTTAACTTTCCTGCTAAATCATATGAATAAGGTTTCATAATTATAATATTTGCCAACCAGTTTCTTTCTACATAATTCTTGTTACCCTCTAATAAATTGCTTAGGGAGGCCACCTCCAAATCCAGATTGCCTATAAAATGTTTCATTTCCTCTTCTAGGGGTTCATGATTATTTTGGAAAAAGCTTGACTTGCAAATTAAATTCCTTATCTTGCCTCCTCTGGAACAGCTACATCTCTCTTTTTTTTTTTTTTTAACATTACATAGTCATAAACTAATCCATAGAAGGGATTTCTCTAGGTGAATCTGCTGAGGTATTAAGGTCCTCAAGCAAAAATGTATGCAATCTTTGTGCTTTAACATTTGGGCATTCCAAACTCTGAATGTGTTCTCTACTATAAGAATGCAAAAGCCAGATAATTCGGAAATTATATTAGGAGTATTGAATAATCATATTGACATTTTGTAATATAATTTCTGCATTCTCCAAATACAAAACTTTTCCTCAGGTTACCAAACCAAATTCTACTTTTTTTTTTTTTTTTTTAGATTGGAAAATATGTTTATTTAGAAAGTAAATTAGAAGAGAGAGGAGAT